ATCATCAGTGCAGGCGGGCCATCCCCAACAGGACCATCCCCAAAGTAGACAGGACCATCCCAGAAGTAGACAGGACCATCCCAAAAGTAGACAGGACCATCCCAGAGGTAGGCATGACCATCACAGAAGTAGACAGGACCATCTCACAAGTAGGCAGGAGCACCCCAAAGGTATACAGGACCATCCCAAAAGTAGGCTAGACCATTCCACAAGTAGACAAGACCAGCACAAAAGTACACAGGGCCAACCCAAAAGTCGGCAGGACCACCCAAAAACTAAACAGGACAAAGTCAAAATGTACGCAGGGCCATCACAAAGCTAGACAGGACCATTCCCAAAGTAGACAGGACTAGCCCAGAAGCAGACGGGGCCATCCCAAAAGTAGACAGGGCCATCCCACAAGTAGACGCGACCATCCAAAAAGTAGACAGGACCATCCGAAAAGTAGACAGGGCTATCCGAAAAGTAGACAGGACCATCCCACAAGTAGACAGAACCAACCCAAAAGTAGACAAGGCCACCACAAAAATTAATCAGGAACAAACCAAACTGTACGCAGGACCATCCCAAGAGTAGACAGGACCATCCCACATGCAGACAGGACCATCCAAAGAGTAGACAGGACCATCCCACAAGAAGACAGGACCATTCCAACAGTAGAGGAAGTACACAGAACTGGACCATCCCCAAAAGTAGACGGGACCACCCCAAAAAGTAGACAGGACCACCCAAAACGTAGACAGGACCATCCCAAAAGTAGGCAGGACCATCCCAGTAGTAGACAGGACCATCCCAGTAGTAGACAGGACCATCCCACAAGTAGACAGAACCATCCTCAAAATGTAGACAGGACCATCCCAAAAGTACACAGGACCGTCCCCAACAGTAGACAGGACCATCCCAAAAGTAGCCCGGACCATCCCAGAAGTAGACGGGACCATTCCAAGAGTAGACACGACCATCCCAAAAGTAGACAGGACCATCCCCAAAAGTAGACAGGACCATCCCACAAATTGGCAGGACAATCCCAAAAGTAGACGCAACCATCCCAACAGCAGACAGGATCACCCCTAAAGTACACAGGAACACCCCAAAAATAGATAGGGCAATCCCAAAAGTGGACAGGACCATCCCAAACGTAGGGAGGACCATCCCGGAAGTGTACAGGACCATCCCAAAAGTAGACAGGACCATCCCAAAAGTAGACGGGACCATCCCATACGTAGTCGGGACCATCCCAAAAGTAGACAGGACCATCGCAAAAGTAGACAGGACCATCCGAAACTAGACAGGACCACCCCAAACGTAGACAGGACCACCCCAAACGTAGACAGGGCCATCCCAAAAGTAGACAGGATCATCCCACAAATTAGACAGGAACATTCCCAACCAGTAGAGAGGACCATCCCAAAAGTACACAGGATCACCCCACTAAATAGACAGGACCATCCCCAAACAATAGACAGGACCATCCCAAAAGTACACAGGACCATCCCACAAGTAGACAGGACCATCCCAAAACTAGACAGGACCATCCCAACCAATAGACAGGACCATCCCACACGTAGACAGGACCATCCCGAGGGTAGGCAGGACCATCCCAAAAGTAGGCAGGACCACTTGAAAACGTAGACAGTATCATCCCAAAAGTAGACAGGACCATCACAAAAGTAGGCATGATCCCAAACGTAGACAGGACCATCCCAACACTAGACAGGAACATCCCAAAAGTAGACAGTAGCATCCCAGAAGTAGACAGGATCATCTCCAACAGTAGACAGGGCCACCCCAACAGTAGACAGGACCATCCAAAAAGTAGACAGGACCATGCCGAAAGTAGACAGGACCATCCCACAACGTAGACAGGATCATCCCGAAAGTAGACAGGACAATCCCACAAGCAGACAGACAGTAGACAGGACCACCCCGCAAATTAGAGTGGACCATCCCAAAAAAGTAGACAGGACCATCCCAAAAGGTAGACAGGACCATCCCAAAAAGTAGACAGGGCCATCCCAAAAAGTAGACAGGACCACCCAAAAAGTAGACAGGACCATCCCAAAAGTAGACAGGGCCATCCCAAAGGTAGACAGGAGCCTCGCAGCAGTAGACAGGACCATCCAAAAAGTAGACAGGACCACCCAAAAAAGTAGACAGGAGCATCCCAGACGTAGACAGGCCCACCCCAAACGTAGACAGGACCACCCCAAACGTAGACAGGGCCAGCCCAAAAGTAGACAGGATCATCCCAAAAAGTAGGCAGGACCACCCAAAGATTAGACAGGATCACCCCAAAAGTAGACAGGGCCATCCCAAAAGTAGACAGGACCATCCCAAAACGTAGAAGACAGGACCATCCCAAAAGCAGACAGGACGATCCCAACAGTAGGCAGTACCACCCCAAAAGTATACAGGACCATCCCAACAGTAGACAGGACCATCCCAAAAGTAGACAGAACAATCCCACAAGTAGACAGGACCATACCACAAGTAGACAGTACCACCCCAAAAGTACACAGGACCATCCCAAAAGTAGACAGGACCATCCCGAAAGTAGGCAGGACCATGCCAAAAAGTAGGCAGGACCACCCCAAACATTGACAGGACCATCCAAAACGCAGACAGGACCATCCCAAAAGTAGGCAGGACCATCCCAGTAGTAGACAGGACCATCCCAAAAGTAGACAGGACCATCCCAAAAGTAGACGGGATCATCCCAAAAGTAGGCAGGACCATCCCAGACGTACCAGAAAAGTAGACAGTGCCATCCCAAACGTAGACAGGACCATCCAAAGAGTAGACAGGACCATCCCAAAAGTAGACAGGACCATCCCAAAAATAAACAGAACCATCCCACAAGTAGACAGGACCATCGGGAAAGTAGATAGGACCAGCCCCAATAGTAGACAGAACCATCACACGAGTAGACGGGACCATCCCAAAAGGTACACAGGGCCAGCCCAAAAGTAGACAGGACCATCCCAAAAGTAGAGAGGGCCAACCCAAAAATAGACAAGCCCATCCCAAAAGTAGACAGGACCATCTCAAAAATAGACAGGACCATCCCAAAAGTAGACAGGGCCGTCTCAAAAGTAGACAGGACCATCCATACAGTACACAGGACAGTCCAAAAAGTAGACAGGACCATGCCCAAAGTAGACAGGACCATCCCAAACGTAGACAGGACCATCCCAAAAGGTACACAGGACCATTCCAAAAGTAGACAGGACCATCCCAAAAGTAGACAGGACCATCCCAAAACGTAGACAGGACCATCCCAAAAGTAAACAGGACCATCCCAAAAGTAGACAGGGCCATCCCCAAAAGTAGACAGGACCATTCCAAAAGTAGACAGGGTCATCCCCAAACGTAGACAGGACCATCCCAAAAGTAGACAGGACCATCCCGAAAGTAGAACATGACCGTCCCAAAAGGATAACATGACCATCCCAAAAGTAGACAGGACCATCCCAAACGTAGACAGGACCATCCCAAAAGTCGACAGGCCCATCCCAAAAGTAGACAGGACCATACCAAAAGTAGATGAGGAGTAAGAGGAGAACGAAAAAAGTAGACAGGACGATGGCGAGGTGAGAACGAGGAGAAGGATGACGATGAGGATGGGGGCGAGGACAAGGCATCATCATCATGGTCATCTTCATCGTAATCACCAGCATCTTCAGCAGCATCCTCTTCATCATCAGTATCAGTATCATCATCATCATCATCAGCATCATCATCATCATCATCATCATCATCATCATCATCATCATCATCATCATCATCATCTTCCGGGCCCGGGAACGTAACAACATACTACCGCCGATCCTTAATATGATGTCTGCCCCTTTGGTGGCCCCCACAGTCATGGGGATTCATGCTCTACGTCGCCCTGCCTTGGCGCTGCCACTTGCGCAAGTGTCGCAACTGTCCAAAGCTCCGGGAAGGTCGGTCCTTACGGGAATCCAAGCTAACTAACGTCGTCCTCCCGAGTTGGTGCCACTTGCGCAAGCGTCACCGCGTTCGTGAGCTCCTGGGAGATCCAGCGGGGTGACGTGTCACGGTGATCCAAGGTAGACGTCGGCTTCTCTGGATGCTGCCAATTGAGCAGCCGTCGCCGCTTGCGTGAGTTCCAAGGGACTCCAGCGGAATGCTGTACTACGCGGGTCCTGAGTAGACCCCCCCCCCTGGGCGCGGCCAGTCTCGCACTTGTCGCAATTTCGTGAGCTCCTGGGAGGCAGGTCAAGCGGACCATTGTGCCACACGGATCGAGACCAGACTTCCTCCTTCTGGACGCTGCTATTTGCGCACGTGCCGCCACGTTCTTAGGCTCGTGGGGGGACTAGCGTGACGTCTTCCGCGGTTCAATCCAGACTTCTCTTCTTTGTGCGTTGCCATTTTCGCAGTTGTCGCTACTCTCGTGAGCTCCTGGAAGTTCCAGTGGAGTGATGTCCGGTGCCTGCAATCAACTGTTCCTCGGTGCTGCATCATACAGCCATCCTGGGGCGCGCAATGCACATGTGCCCTACGTAGTTCGCAGAAGGCACAAATGTCCCTTCGTCGTGGATGGGACCGTTGGTATCGCCCTTTGTTGCAGATGTTTTGCGCACGTCCCTGGGTAATTTGACTTCAGGATGAGGTGGAGGAGCAGGAGGATACATATGCATCCCCTGCAACATCCATGTTCTCCGAAGTCTGGTGGCCTGCTGCAGGCATGCTCCTGGTCTCATTGTCGTGTGTTTTGGACCGTGAGGCTTTGATGAGCAGTTTGAGTCTGAGTCTGAGTCTAGAGTTTGAGTCTGAGTCTGAGTCTGAGTCTAGAGGGTGCAGACGAGGAGGAGGAGGAGGAGGGGAAGGAGGAGGAGGAGGAGGAGGAGGAGGAGGGGAAGGGGGAGGGGGGGAGGAGCGAGCAGGAAGATGTGGAGGAGGCGGACGCCGAGTTGGTTTCGGTCTAGCCTTTAGTGTTGGGTGTTGGCGCGTGGTTGCTGGCTCCCTGGCAGGTTCCTTTTGTCGATCCGCTGCCGATGGAGGACTTCGCCGCCGTGCCTCGCCTGACGGGGGTGTCTTCGATCGAGTTCGTGCACCGCTACTTCCTGCGGGGGCACCCAGTGGTGCTGACCGACGGAATGGAGAGCTGGCCCGCATTCAAGACTTGGAATCGCGTCTGGATGAACAAGAGATTCAGGAAGTGAAAGGAGAAGCAACGGCGTAATCATGAGCTTTCGAATGTCCACGCGAATTTCTTGGATCGGCGTTGGACCCGTTTGGCGGCGTCTCCAGCGCAGCCGCTGGCGCGCTCCGCGCTCTAGGGACGGGTGTCCAGCGCGGATCCGAGAAATCCTAGCGGGCCTGCAAAAGTGTAGGTTTATGTTGTGTTTGTCGTTCCTCTAGGAAGGAGATCATCGAGGATGGCTACCGTGCAGATGACGACGTGGCGAGCAACTGGATAGTCGCCTCTCCGCTGCTGCGGAAGAAGCTGTCCAGGTGGTACTCCATACCCTACCTGTGGAACCTCGGGTGCAAAGAAGGCAACTGCACCGACGCCCCGCTGCGCGGAGTCCACGAGGCAGACGTCGGCGCAAAAGCCTTGGGTGTGCCGGCGTTGACTTCTCTTGCAGGGGCAAATTTGTATTCCCGTCGGCTTCCGCCAGCATTCCAACGACTCTTTGCCTGCAGAGCCGCTCCCGATGTGGAATCGACGGGCTCTCGCGGGCCCTCCCGCGAACTTCGCAGAGGGCTAGGTGTCGATCATTCGGTTCTTAGGAGACGATACTTTTCAGAACGCCCCGTGAGGGCTTGAACTTGTCGTCCACCGCGCCCATGGCAGCGCCTTACTTCTACGGCTCGCCGAACAAGGGATATGCTAGCAAAACGGGGGGCAGGTTTGGTGCGTCTGCCCCGCCCTCCCCTTTTAAGCCCATTCCTTTCTCCCCCTCCCCCCCCCTCCTGGCGAAGCAGTCCCCGTGCGGAGCGGTCCCCCAGCGAGTCGGTTTGGTGTCCTTTTGATTCTCCAGCCCCCTTCTCCCTCTCCCACCCTCCCGCTCGCCCCCGCCCCTCCTCTCCTCCCGCCCTCCCCCCGGGGTAGCCTTGGAGTCGGCCTCCCGGGCGTTTTGGATCCAGCCATCTGGGTCGTCTCTGGGCCACTCGAGCTGTTTGGGCTGGACCAGCCTGGCCCCCACAGAGCATCCTTCCCTCCTCTTCCTCACACCCCCCCCGCCCTCTCACCGTCTGCCCCTCCCTCCCCATCCCCCCTCCTGCCCTCCAGTAGGGGGGGCGGGGAGGCACCACCCTGCCCCCCGCGGAGAAGCACCTGGATACCAACTGCCACCAGACATACAGCGCCCTGGCGGCCCCGCCCCCTTCGAGAACCGCGGGGCCCTGGGACCGGCCAGTCGGGGTCTGGCGAGGTCCCAGAAATATCGGCCAGCGCAGACCCCCAAATAGATGAGAAGATTGAAGCGAAGTGGACTGGAGTGGGCTGGAGCAGACTGGACTGGAGTAGACTGGACCAGATCGGGGTGGGAGCTGTTCCGTCCTACTCGACCTTGTTCTGCTCAAGCATACCCGGGTCTACTCTACAATCTACCCCACTCGATTGTGTTCTGATCTAATTTGCTCGTAACCTAACCGAGCCTACTCCTACTCTACACCTACTGTGCGATATACTTCGCTCTACGCTGTCCCTACTCTGCGATCCTCGTACTCTACTCTGCCCTGGTATTCTCTCCTTTATTCCGCCCTACTCCACTCTACGCTCTAATCGTTTCCCGAATCGCATGGAATGGACAGCGGCAGCGGGGCCACGTGAGCGCGGGAGAATGTCCGATTTCGCGCAAGCGCAGCGCAGGTTGTGAGTGAAAATGTCAGTGCTGTGTCAGCGCGGCGCATGCTTCGTCTCCGCCGCACTTTTCGAAACTAGTGCCGTTCCATTCCTGCGCGGCCCGCGTAGTTTTCTGTTCGCAAAGTCGTCGGAAGCGGGGCCGCGTGCGAGTGCGTTTCGTTCGCGAGGTGGGAGCTCGTTCCAATCCAAGTATCAAATTGTGCCACATCGTATCCTGATGTTGCGGGAGGGAGGGTGGGAGTAGGTTGGGCGCTTTTTGTTCGTTCGGCCTGGCGAGCCAGTAACTATACCCTGACCGAACCTGTTCTACACGAGTCTATTCGATTATACTGAGTTCAATTCTAAGTGTTGCTTTATGTCCCTCTATTATGTTCCAGTCTGTTTGTTCGATTATGTTCTACCCGACTCTACTTGTCCTACCCGGCTCGACCCGGCCATCTACCCTATTTTCTTCCACGCTACCTTGATCTAACCGCTTCCCCTATTGGTATAGATTCCCGCTCTGCCACCCAGTTGGCCGAAAGCACCAAGATCAGGGCGGATCCATCCGACTTGCCAAAAAGCAATACAGCTTCAAAGTCATGCGCCACAGCACGGGAATTACGTCGTCCACGTTGCAAATTGCGTGGCAAGAACATGACAGGGCGCACATCCGGCGCGAAATGCCGAAATGTCGTTCCCCCCCCTGGCGCCGCGTTCCTTTTTCTACAACTAGGAGTTCCCGCTAGGGCGCTGCGCGCAGTTCTCGCGCGCAACCTCGTCGGCGCGCGAGCGCTCTCGCCTCGACGCCGCGCAGATGCCGCCTGAAAGTGGCGCTCCCGCCCCGACGGGCGCATATCTTGCAATCGCCAACGTTGGAGGGCCTGCGCGCGTGGGCGACGTGTCGCCCTCGCCCGCGCTGCGTGTGCGTGTCGCACGGAAGTGGTGTTCTTGCGCGGGCGCGGCGCATGGCTCGTCCGCCGATATCGCATGGCAGCGACACCGGCAGCGGGGCCGCGCGAGAGCGGGCGGAATGCAGGCCTCGCCCAGGCACAGCGCAGCCTGCGAGTGGAATTGGCACCGCTGTGAGAGCGACTCGCGTGCGCTGTGCGTCGTCTTCGCCGCGCCCGTCGGAAGCTCTGCCGCTCCCGCAGCTGCGCGGCCCGCGCAGTTCCTTTTTGCCACACCGTCGGGAAGGGAGCCGCCCGCAAGCGCCTTCCGTTTACGAGGTGGGAGCGCCTTCAATTCCCAGTACGAAGATTTGCCACAGTGTATTCGTGCGTTGCTGGATGGAGGGCGGGAGTAGGTTGAGCCCACCGACCCGCTCGACGTGACTAACGGGGCCCTACCCATCCCTAGCCTCACGTGTTCGACCTAGTCTGGTATAATATCTAGTGTGTCCGGCCAGGCTCAACTCTACGCCTAGTCTGGTCCGCGCTACTCTACTCGGCCCCTTTTTGTTCTCGACGCTACGCATCTGCTCTCCTTTACTTGACCTTGCTAAAAGCCAGCGCAACGGTAGAGCAAGTAATGCAAAGGACGCCATGGCAATAGCTACAGGAAGACACTGTAACAGCAGAGGAAGCCTGTAACATAGCAAGGGAAGCCATTGCAATAAAAGGGAAGCCATTGCAATAGTTTGGGGCACGAGAGGGGGTGTAGCAGTGGGCCACTTGCGTTCGGACTCCTACAGGCAAGCCTATTTGGAGAGAAGCGCTCAACATGTCGACGGTCACCAGTGCGACATATCACGCCATGAGTAAGCACGACTATGACGGCAGTCGGCGGAGCCTCTCGCCCGTAGGAGGGTTCCATAAGGGCCCCGACATTGCCCCAGAGGGTCAGTTTAGCCCAATACACAGCCCAGGGAGAACGCCAGCAGGGCGTCCGAAGTGATTCCAGGGCGGCCCAAAAGATCCCCCGAGGGGCTCCATGGCACCCCAGGACAGCGCAAGAGGGGTCTATTTGGTTGCGTGTTCTGGCCCACCGCCCCTTCCTGTAAGCAATGAAATGACACACCAGCCTGCCAGCGTGTGCCCCATGGAGAGCTCCGATGACAAGTCTTCTGATCGTGCACACATCTGCAGCGGGTTGGATCGGCCGCGAGCCTGGCGCTGGCGTTCAAGGCTGAACGCCGCCAGCGGTTCAGAACTGGCCGATGTCGAACGATGCGCGCTGTCTGACGGCCGCGATCGGCCAAGCCAAAAGATGCACGCAGTGCCAGAGACCCACGTCGACGTCATCGCGACGTGAACCTTGAGATCCAGCGTATTGAAAATCAAGACGGAGGTTTCTCTCAACTGTCGGCCTCTAGGGGCTCTCGCCGGGCCCCGAGACCGTCAAAAAACGACTCGGGATGGAAAACCGGCCCTGGGGAACGGGTCGAGAGACTTCGGGGGACCGCGCATTGAAAAAATCACGACATCGGATCTCTGGGAACCAAGCCGGTCGAGATTAGAGGGGCTGGGCCACCGTGGCACCAGCGCGCAGCTGGAGGGGACCAAGCAGTGGGTGCTCTGGCCCCCGCCCGACGCGGACCCAGAGCTGAAGCCCATGATCGCGGTATTACGGCCTGGAGACATCATGCCCGGGAGGCCCCTCCGCTATGTTGGCAAAACAGGCCCCCCGTGGTGCGCGGAGCGCCCCAGGATTGTTGGGGTGGAGCGCAAGAGGCGGCGCCAGGGTGTCGAGACCGCACCGGACTACTCGGGGGGGCCTGTTGAGGCCAGCTGGGGCTGCGCGGGGGGCCTGTTGAGTCCAGCTGGGACTGCCTGGGGCGGGGAGGCCGACTCTGAGCCACCCGAAGGTTTACCACGTTCTGTGCTCGGAGTCCAGGGGACGTCAACTGACCACCTCGCCGATCCCAGCCTGGCCAGGAGTGGTCAGGTGTTGTCCGACAAGTGGCCCGTCGCCGGAGTGACCTTTGATGCGCGGTTTCCGGAAGGGGCGCGGGAGGCCAATCTCAAGCATGCAGGCCGCCAATTATTGCGGGTGTGCGACCGAGTCAATGCTACTTTAGATTGGATCGTGACCTTTTGACGGCTCATTGCTTGGAGCTTTGCCCCCGACCGCCTTGGCGACATGAAACCAAACAAGCCAGCGAGAAGTGGGCCCCCCCCCGGAAGAAAACATGCAGGCCGCCTATCGTCGCATCGCGTGCAGCGATCGGCACGCCCCGCACCAGAGGTCAGCCTTGCCTGTGTGCACAGAGTCGCGCTTGCGCGCAGCCGAGTTGTGTGCGTTCGCCGTGAAGGGCAGGGGCTCCGTTCTGGGATTCTGGGGGCGCCCTCGTCGCCACGAGTGGGCTCCCCCCGAAGCCCTGGCCAAAATACACCCCTGGAGAGGGCTGGGGGGCGCGAGAAGATGGGGGGTCCCCGAGGGAAGGGGGTCCCTGAGGGAAGGGGGTCCCTGAGGGAAGTGGGTCCCTGAGGGAGAGGGCTGGGGGGCGCGAGAGGATGGGGTGTCCCTGAGGGAAGGGGCTCCTGGAGCTTGCCGGTTCGGACTCCCGGGGCTTCTCCCCAGTCCAGGGACTCTCAAAGCACGACTCGGGACGAAAAGGCGGACACAGCGGAAAGCGCCAGAGCAGGACTCCTGTTTCCCTCATGGCAGCTCGCCTCTTGCCTCCTCCTTGCTTCTATCTCTCCCTCCCATTTTTCCTCTCCCCCGTGCCTTTCCCTCCCCTCCCTTCCCTCACCCCCCTGTGTGATTCAGCCCTCCTGCTCTCCCCCCATGCCTCACCCCTGTCCCGATCCATAATTATTCACTCCCTTCCTCCTTCTTTTCCTTACGACTCCCCCTCAGTCCCACGCGTACGCCCCCCTGACCTCCCCTTCCCCTCCCCGGTCCTTCCACCCCCTATCCCCCACCCCTTCGTGAGCGCCTCTCTTCTTCCCTCCCTATTCCCCCCCCGACCTCCCCTTCCCCTCCCCCGTCCGCCCACCCCCTAACCCCCACCCCTTCGTGAGCCCCTCTCGTTTTCCCTCCCTATTCCCCCCCCGCCTCCCTTTCCTGTGCGGAGGGCGGAGAGCCCAGCTGGTGCAAACGCGCGGGTGGCCTCCCGCAGTACTGTGGTATTCGGGTTGGTGGCACGAGGCCCGGACGGTCGACGACAACCATAGCTTGGCCTTCACGGACTTCTTCTCCCACCCCGCGCCCACGCCTTTTCTGTGGGCGAACCGCAGGTTCCTCCCTCGACGTCGGGCGAAAACATAAAAAAACAAACGATCTGGTGGGGGCGGCGTTTCCATGCTCGGACCCCATGGAAGCCCAGGTTTCAAACCCAGAGGGGCAATGTTGGTGTCGTGCGCCGCGGTGGTGCCCATTGAGGGCGGGTCCACGAAAAAACATGTTGTGTACCGGCCAAGAGGAGCCAAGTGGAGCCCAGTGGTAAGACAGAAAGAGAGAGAGAGAGAGAGAGAGAGAGAGACGATCACGACGACGACGACGACGACGACGAAGAGACGACGCTACAGAGCCAGGCATACGAACGACACAAGTCCGTGGATCTGGCGCTACCAAGCCTGAGTATTTTGCCATGCGCCGTGAGTCACCTGACGAGGGCCAGCCCATGACAAAAATCCCTAGGCTTGCCACTGCCAAGCCAAAGGATTTGTGTCATGCGCCGCCTTCTCGCTTGAATCTCTCCCATGTCGCCCCGCCCTCGTGAATTGTTACCGATCGGCGAGTCTGCGTGTTTCCCCGATCCCCCGTCGATTGGTTCCCCGATCGTGCCCTGTGCATTTGTCTCCGATCGGCCGTCCAGGAGAAGTTCGTGTTTGCCTCTATGCGTCTTCGTGGCGCCATGAATGCATATGTCCGCCGGCTGGCTGGCATGAATATCTGGCCTCAGCCTCCGGACGCAATTCCAGCGATTGGTCAACTTGATGTTTATCGGGAGCAGGTCCACGGATGTGGTTCCAGCCCAGCGGTTGGCTTTCCCCATGTGATTTCGAATGATGGCCCCCAGGTGTCCCGGATGTGTCTACAGCTGAATGTGTGTCCAGTTTTTGCTGGCATCGACGAAGAACGTGTTGTGTTGGGTATGGAGCTGGGGTGGGCATGAAAGAATCACGACATCACAGGTTCGGGCTCATGACGCGCAAGCTAATTCCTGTGTTTTGCTAGGGTGTGTTAGACCTTTCGGTTTCAAAGAGGAGTGCGATGAGGACCCCAGGGCCCCAGGAGGTCCAGACATCGGTTCCTTCAAAACCATTTGGTTTCCTGGTCGAGGTTTCTTGTTAAGGGTTGTTGCGGCCGAAGTCATACCCAATTATGTTCACTTCCCTTTGTTGTTGTTTGCTTTCCCCCCATTAAGATCCACACATTTCCTTTGAAGTTTGCAACCCCACCGTCTGCCATCCGATCGATTACACTAGATCCGACTACAATGCAATAGACTGCAAACGAATCGGTTGCCAACTTCCCGATTGTAAACAAGTTGGCAGCATTCCCATCGCGTGCATGCCAAACGATTGGAATTCAATTCGTTGCAATCCAATCAATTGCAGCCAATTCGCTTGCAAACTAATCGCTTGCCAACCATGCGATTGCAGCCCGATCGATTGCAAACCAGTTTACTACAATGGAACCCGATGAACTCGAACCGCTTGCATTCCGAACAAGTGCAGCCCAAATGATCGTGATTCAACATGTTGCAACCCAGTGGGTTGCAACCCATTCGCTTGCGATCCAATCGTGCGCAAGACAATCGTTTGGGTAACCCAATCCGTTGGTAACCGCCCGATCCCAATCCAATCGATTGCCATCTCACCGATGGCAATTCAAGCGATCATAGTTTTTCAGGTTGCCACCCGACCGATTGAAATTCGCTCGCTTGCCACCCAACCGATTGCAATCCAATCGTTTGCAAACAAATCGGTTGACTGAGTGTCCCGGAGAATAAAGCATACCACCCTTAACCCTTTCTAACATGTGTACCCCGTGTCAATCGGATTTTGGTCTGGAGAGGCGCGGAGGCCGAACTTGCTAATCCCTGGGGGAAGTTGCGAACCGAAGTTGTTATCATCTCATGTTGCCTCACCACCTCTGCTTCCGCAACCACGAGCGCGTGGCAGGGCTATGGAGTTCTCGCCATTTCAGTATTCCCAGCCACGAACGTGCGGAAGGGTCATGGGGTTTTCACTTTCTCAGCCGTTCCCGTGTCAGGAACGCGCGGCAGGGCCATGAGGACCGATTGGATCCTGAAGTTACATGAGTTTTTCGAGCAGGCAGAGCGTTGGAGCTATTTTTTTCCAGCGCATCCCCCACACGGCTCGTGGCCCCTCCTCCTCCTCCTCCTCCTCCTCCTCCTCCTCCTCCTCCTCCTTCGATAGCCCGAACCTCCCCAGGAACGCGCGGATTCACGATCGGGCGCCCATCGCCGATGGATCGGCGATGCATCGCCGTTTACACGTTTCCAGGCCGATGTTCCCCCCCCAATGCTGATCCCCCCCACGCACACCGTTGCCCCTGAGTGCGTCGCGAGCCTCGGCCATGGCTCCTACGACGAACGCGTCGGCAAGGCCTTCCCCGATATTCCCATCCGAGCCCTTAAACCTCCTCGACCTCGTGCTGCCGATCAACGAGAGCTTCGAGCCCGTCGAGAAGATGCCCGAGGAGTTCCCCCCGGCGTGCTGTGCGATCAGCTTTTCGAGGTTATCCCCCACAAGGCCAAGAAATGCGTCAATTGACGCCGCGACATCGGCGTGGTGCAGGGCGTTGACCACGCGCGAGCCACCGCGCGAGCGGTCGCCAAGTGGCGCTGGAGCCTCAATCGCACTGCCGGCATGGCCTACGAGCTCCAGGAGGTGAGCAACATGGTCAAGCGCCCCAAACATGATTACGCAAGCACCGACAGGCAGCTCCGCCTCGAGACAATGGCGCCCGACCAGCACATCAAGATGAATTTCGAAGAGTCCGCCAAGATCCACGCCGACTACGACAGGGTGCGCGATCAGCGCGAGACCGAGAAGAGCCAGGCCGACGCGAAGGCCGAGCCAGAGGCCGACAAGTCGACGCCGCAGGATGCTTGAGAGCCGAGCGGCGGCGAGCGGCGAGCGCCTGGCGCGCGCGAGGGTGCCGAGCGCCCTGGGCCAAGCGCCCCCGCGTTTTTCGCTGCGAGGGTGCCGCGCGAGCGTCTGAGGCACGCGCTCGAGCCCCATTGCTTTCGAGCTCCAAGCGAGCGTTCGAGCACGCCCGGGTGGCGTTCCAAGCTGCGGGGCGCCACTCCCCCCCCCCCCATCGCCGAGTGGCCCGCAATCGAACATCAAGCAATCAAGCGGGCTCGATCATCCTCAGATCGAGGATCCGAGATCTTGCGCTTGAGTACCTTCGAGCACCTTGGATCCTAGATCCGAGGAACGCCACGCCTGGACTCGAAGATCTCGGGCTCGCGATCCGAGGATCGAGGATCGAGCCTCGGCGATCGTCGATCTCCCTCGTCGCCGTCCTCGAGCCCAGACTGCTGCCTTCAGCAGGCTCGATCTTCGATCCTCGGATCGAGGATCCGAGATCTGGGCCCCGAGCATCTTCGAGCGCCTTGGATCCTAGATCCGAGGGTCGCCACGCATGGACTCGAAGATCTCGGGCTCGCGATCCGAGGCTCGAGGATTGAGCCTCGGCGATCGTCGAAATCCCTCGTCGCCGCCCTCGGGCCCGGACTGCCATCAAAGAGGCTCGATCTTCGGATCGAGGATCCAAAATTTTGTTTCCGAGCATCCCTGAGCGCCGAGGGTCGCCGCGCTTGGAGTCGAAGATCTCGCGCTCGCGATCCGAGGATCGAGGGTCGAGCCTCGGCGATCGTCGATCGCCCTCGCCGCCGCCCTCGGGCCCAGAATGCCATCGAGCAGGCTCGATCCTGCATCCCCGGATCGAGGATCCGAACTCTTGGTCCTGAGCATCAGCGAGGACGTCGGGCCTTGGATCCGAGGATCGCCAAGCTTGGACTTCAGGACCTGGTGCCTTCGTTCCGAGGGTCGAAGATCAAGCTTCGACACCTAGCGGCCACGCGCAGACGCGCGCGCACACAAACGCGCGCACACACACGCAAACACAACGACAGACACCCACACGCACACACACAAACACACACACACACACGCACACACACACTCTCTGACACGAACACACACACGCACACACACACACGCACATTCGCATACACACACCAACAACAACATCACAAACACATCGCAGCCACAACAGCAACAGCAACCAGCACAACAACAGCCCATCCAACAACAACACAAGCAACAGCACGCACAACAGCAGCACCAGCAACCAGCGCAACGACGAGCCACAACAGCAACAATACAAGAACAACTGCGCAAACAACAGCTGCCACAACAGCACAGCCCAAGTCCGCCACATCGCCGAGGCCTGCCGATGCATCGCAGAGGTGGCGCAAACTACGCAGCGCAATGGGCGCGAGCTCTGCGGTGCAAGCACTGTTCAGGACAAGCCCGCCGCGGACGCAACCCTTCCCGTGGCCCTTCTAGGATCCAGCATTCCAAGCCCTTTTTTTCCGCTCCGGCGGCGAGGATGGCCGAGTCGGACAGCGACAAGAGCGTCGTCTCGCCGACGTTCCTCGTCTTGCCAACGCAGGGCGACGAGCGGGCGCCAGACGGCGCGCAGACCAACAAATTCGAGGAGGTGGAGACCGAGGACGGCGCCGAGCAGCACGCGGAGACGCAAGAAACCACGCAGGAGGACGACGCCAGCGCGCCCGAGGACAAGTGCTTCGACGACAATAAGCTCGAGAACAAAAAATTCAAGCTGGACTCCTGCGAGCTCGAGGACGGGGAGCTCCAGAACCACAGCAAGCTCGAGGACAACGCGCACTCCGAACAAAAGCTCTCGGACAGCAAGCTGGAGGATTCCAGCGAGCTCGAGGGCCAGAGGTCCGACGACAAGAAGCCCGAAGACAAGGTGTTCAAGCTGGACTCCTGCAACGCCGGGCCCGAGAAGAAGCGCGGCCGCCGTTGCAAGCCAGCAGCGACGAGGCAGCGCGATGCCTTGCGCTCGGTGCCGAGCTCTGCTTCGCCGCCTGCCTCGGCCCCTTGTCCCGACCCATCCTCGAGGCGCGTCGCGAGCCGCTGGAAGCTCTGAGCGAGGTGCCTTCGGGCAGATTGAGGACGAGGCGCCAGGGGCTCTGAGCGAGGTGACCACCGGCCCCGAGGACGCC